CAAACTCTTCTGAAAGATAAGCACAAAGAAGAGGGAAAAAAGTGGTATTTCTCCCCCTACAATATGTCAATAAGTGCAAAGATCTAATTTGTTTCTGTGAAATTCTAACAGACTGATCAGCCAGTTCAAGTGTCTAAATACTATTCCAATTAGCCTCTAGAAAAAATGTATTTATCACTATGATTTTAGATGGAATAATCTCTATAGAATTAATTATATTAGTCTTTAATACACCCTACAACTTTCAAGCAAAGCTAAGCTCCGAGTCATACAGCTTTACTATTAAAACATGCTAACAAATCAGATGGAAATACGATACAAACTTACAGTGGTTCAGTTTTGTAGCTGAAAATTTGCTATATCAGATAGTTATTTTACTCTTTGTATTGATTCTCATTTCCATGGAAACAAGTAGGAGGCATTACTTTTGGAGCAACTTATGTATATGCAGCACAAGACAATTCCTCTTTACTTGATGTGGCCTGGGCAACCTTGAAAGGTTGGATATTCATGCTATAGAAGATCTTCAGCACTAAGCAAGGAAATCACCTTTCAAGAAAGAATTTCACAAGTACTATCCCTGTGCCAGAGATACACAGGTGTGAAAGAATGACTGAGCCAGCAGAACTGGAGAGCAGCCACTTCTTGTGGCCAGAAGCTCATTGGTAGGGATGATTCTAAAAATCCTTTCTGCTCTGAGGAACTACATTTACACACCAAGCTTTCGGCCTACAAACAGATGGAAAGAAAGTCAGAACAATATGCATGTGGGAACCTGCTTCTCTCAACAGAAGATCTCAGCTCTAACCAAGATATATGAGATTTTAAAAAGAGAGATAAGGAGTCTCCTTAGGACACTGTTAAGAAAGAAAACCCATTGTACAGTGAACTGTGAATTTTGGCTGAGAGCTACCACAAAAATGATTTTTCACAGCACACAGGTTTTCCTCCAGAAAAAGCCATAGATGCCTGGAAAATGTACAAACACACACACACAATCACATACACACACACATATATATATATAATCATCTTTTTCTGCTTGAAATACTTAATTCCTACTGAAATGCCTGCAATATAAGAAGACTAGGCAAGCATTAGTTTTCTTTCCAGAGTTACCTGTAATGGAAACAAAGCATTTCTAAGATATTTTCATTAAACTTCAAGGCAAGAACGTACCTCCCTGATACAGCACTAACATGTCATACAACTGTCTTTTCCAATCCAAAATACGAAACTAATGAATTCAGAGCCTTGTTCGTTTAAGGAGGAAAAAAAATTCTAACTGCAAATCTCAAAAGAAAATAAAAATGGAATTTCTTTTTTATCATATAGAGGAGCTGTGTTTAACCTCAGTATGAGGAGACAAAACCTTCAAATTCAAAGCCAGAATAGCCCTTTACTCTTCTATTTATATTAGTTTTAGTCAGATGTGCACTGTGAGTACTGCAACCAGTTACAGCCTTCACCTTGAGTCACTTCACATTCCTGCTGCCAAATGTGATAGATCCTTTTCCTTCCACTAGCTTGATAAAAATCCAAGCTGTGGTAGTTGGTATTCATACAATTTCATTTTTCTGTATCAGTGGAAATAGAACTTCTGCAACTGTTCTCTGAAGAATAAGGATGCTACTGTATAGAGTAATGTGCACAGATACATAAGGAAGTGAAAAACAGTTACCTAAAGGACTTTGTTTTTCTTGTTGTTTTACACAAACAGGAACAGATTCAGTGACACAGACTGATGGGCAAACAGGCTAAGACTCTTTGCTTGAACACAGAGCATTGATATTCAGAGAAAAATTCAGATGCCCTCTTCCTCAAGATAGCACTGCACACAGGTTCCCAAAAGGGCACTGCTACTGTTTTCCTCGAGAGTATTACAGGTGTACGAAGTCCAGCTGCAGATATTCAATTGCATTAAAACACAAGCAAAGCAGCTGCTAAAATATTATGGCAAACTAAACAGTAAAGCGAACCTCATCATTCAAAAAATTTTGTCCAATCATTAGTGGTAGAGGATAATTAAATGGCATTGCTTTTCTTGCAATTGTAGTTGAAATACTGTGAAACTTGAAGAAAAGTAACAAAACCTTTCTGTGCATATTTGCTGTATGAGTTAATCTCTGTGTTGCAGACTGAGTTATCAACTATGTTGTTTGAGGCAGCAACATTTCACAAATTATAAAGCATCCCCAAACACCTTCCTCCTTCATCAAACATTCTTAAACCTTTCTTCTTTCACAAAAGCAAAGACAGAAAACATACTGAGCCAGGTCATTCAGACTAATTAGTGTTAAACAGGATATGTCTAGTGTAAAAAGACCACACCTTCAGCAAGAACGACATTCCCAGGTCAAGTGGAAAAACATACACCTAATAAAAAATTCTAAATTGCTAGTATGAAATACTATGCAAGTCTTCTCTACTTTTTATACTTAGCAATTAGTTTTCAAATACGACAACATAGCTATGAATGCTCTTTTCCTTGTCCTGCACTCTCACTGGAGGACTGGTATAACAGCCTGGCTCTCTTGACAGTCTGCACTGTCAGTGAAATTTTGACTCCAGGGGAGTCAACACTCCACATGGGTCAAGATTTCACAAATCATTAATAAATGTAAAATACACTAAGGAACACATATGAGTACTTCTAGGTATTAGAAGTTTACCTCAACTGTGAGAAAGCATTGCAACAGCTTGTTTTTCTTGTCACATTAAAGGATTAAGAAAGCTATTAGAAACACCAGGCAAAGTAAACGATAAAATAGACCAAATTTTTTTCTGACATAAGCATTCCTCTATGCAGACTGATTCGTTCATAAAAGAACAGCATTTCATTTTTCCTTCATCAAACATGACTTTATACGGTAATTTAAACATCACACAGTTCTGTTCCCCATGCACACTCATTTGACTGTTTTCTCAGTATTTTAACACACTGTAACATCTACCATAATGCAGATGAACTGAGCAGTAAGATGAAGTAAATCTGAAATCTACAGAAGTTTGAATTACTAGAAAGCTGACATCAAGATAAATTTTTTTATTTTTTTTATTTGACATAATTTTTATTTGGCTACTCAAATTCTTAGTATCAGCACTTAGATAAATAGTGAATTTACCGATCAGTGAAATTCTCATGAGTTTAAAGAAGCTTGGACTCCATTCTGTTTCAGATTCCAAGTGCTTTTGAATTTAAATTTTCACTGCTAATAATTTCAGAATTATTTCATGACAGGTTTCAAGTTTTTTGCTTTTGTTACATACATTACACTGCAAGTGTGCAATGCCTCCACTGAAGTCAACTGTCATACTGTGGATTGTAATCTCCATGGATTAATTCACTAATGTCATTCCCTGTGGTAATAAGCTATCCTTATGAAACTATTTCTCCTTCAGTGAGGGATTAAACCTTGATTTAATAACAAGGATTCAAAACAATGGCAAAGCTGTTGAAATGCTGTATTCTTCCAATGACTGTGTATTGAAAACAGAATAAGTAAAAAACATCACAAGGTTCTGCTTCCAACAGTTAAGTTGTTCTTATTTTGAGGAATGTGCTTTGCCAAGTTGGTTGACTTTAACACCTTTGTGAGTGGAAACCGCCCTTATAATTTTGTTCCCTTCTCCCAACACTGCTCTTCAATCATTGATTATTACTATGAGTGATCAATGCAGCATGGAAAAAAAAGTGTAGTTATCCAAGCTCCTTTACCAGTCAGCCTCATAATCTGATCCTTAAGGAGAAGGTATTAAAGAGTTACTGGTTTGTAAGTAAAATATATTTAACATATTAACTGCGTTGTTGATGCATTAATAGCAGTCACAGTTAACTACATATAAGGCAAGATCATTAATCATTTGCATGGTAAAGGACACCAAACCATATTCAGATTATGTTAATAGTAATAGAAAATGGTTAATTGCCTGATTTTTTTTTTTTTCCAAATTTATTTTTGTAAGACATTGGGTTATTGCAATCTAGTTTCAATTTTGTATATATTTTTCTGCAGAGACTAGACAGTATTTCTAAGACAAACCATGAAAATTCCGAAGTTTCGTAACCTTTTTAGTGCCATGAAGGTCCCATATCCCTTCCTTGTGCCATATAAATGACCCAAAAGAACAACAGCTCAGTCAGTTTTCTGAGGACTTCCTTAGTGAAAATGAAACCAGCAGAAGGAGAAGAGCTTGCTGAAGACAGAACCCAAACTCCTTGCAATAAAATTACGTAAATCCGAAGTACATTGAAGTTTGAATTACTAGAAAGCTGACATCTCTGCTTGCTGGAGGCAGAACCCAAATTTCATCCTAAATCTGGAACACACTTCCAGATTTCTAGATTGCTCCATGTACATGATAGTGGATAAAAAGGAATGTAACTGTTCTAGTGTTAGGGATCCTAGTTTCTAGAACTTTTTTTTTTTTTTTTGGGGGGGGGTGGGCGGGAGGGGGGTCTTCACAAGCAAAATACCACCAAACTCTCTACTGTGTTTTAAATCGTGTCTCAAACATACCAAAACTGGCATAATACTTTACATCCGATGATTCCTCCTGTTCTCCTGGACAGGAAAATTTATGTCTAATTTCCTTTGTGGTACGTAAGAATGAGAACAATCACACTGAAGTCAGCACAGTCCTGACAGAAGCCAGGGAGTCAACTGACAGAGTATGGATATACAGACAGGACTTATCTGTGCTTCCATTTGGCCTGTGCCCTTTTGATTGGCTTGATGTTTCCATGTAGAAGAGACACAATTATCAGTTCATTCTGAATTAACAGACAGGACAGCACTTTGACCTCTGAGATGCGTTACAGAGTTTTCCAGGTGGCACTAAGTAATCACACAATTAGAAAGTCCTAATTCTGAAGCATCACCACAAATGTTCCTTATATGTGATAAACCTGCACTTGAAATGCTGTCATGCAGAAATGCTTCTATATCACATTTTCACATACAATTAATGATAGCATGGTAAAGACAGACAAAACTTACATAGTCATGAAAGGCTTTTGCTTCACTTGAATGTTCACATGTTTCTCGTCTTTCTGGAGCTGCACAGTAGAGATCCCAAAATACACTGCAAGTGAAGAAGTTACAGATATAGTGAGAAAGTCACTGTGAGAAAATCATTACTCCAGTAGATTTTACAGTGCACATCACACATGCACGTGTATGTGTAGAAACAGATACATCCCTTCCTTACCAACAGTTGAAAGCACTTACCTTTATGAAATAATTTACGCTGGTAAAACATCTCAAAGGAATCTAAAACTACTGAAAATATGAACTAAAAAGCTAATCTAATACTCAGTGTCAAAGGGTATGAAGCTCTGCATTTAACCTTGAACCGTTGGTGACTGTTGTGATTTACCTCCACAAAGCACTGGAAGAAACAGACACATAGTAATAACATAAAAAGGCATGAAACTGAGGAGAAAACTGGGGATTTCTTCTGAAGTTCAATACCATGCCTTCAACAAAAGTTCCTAGAGAAGCACATGTATGGAGAAGAGCAGGAAATGGATGGGTATCTTTCCTTAGGAATGAAAAGAAATAATGGTGGCTATAGTCATTCTTTGTCCTATCACTCCCCTTCAAACAGTTACACATGAATTCGTCCAAACACAAAGTTTCTAGAATGAAAATATGTGTACACTACAACAATCGTAAGAACACAATTTGTCAAGAGTTTAATATTATTTATTACTTACCCTAGCATCGTAATAGAAATAGGAATAGTGAATAAACCTGAAAACTCTGCTGCCGAAAATCAAAATTAAGATAATTCTCTTGTACCTTCACAGGTACAAGAAACAATTAGGCTTTGAAATAAAAAAAATAATAAAAACAGAAAGGTCAATGAAGAATATGCCACATTTTACAGAATTGCATAAAAAACTTGGGTTTTTGCGTTCAAATGGAACTACTTTAAAACTTGTAAATTGCTGTGCTCCTGACAGCTGGGTATATTCTCCATAATTTCGTATTCTTGTAAACACAGACATATTGGACATATTCAAATCATACAACAATATTTATTAATATAAATACAATGGCTAAATAACATTGATTATGAGCACTCTTTTCACCCTGCAAACTTTACAGTTACAAATGTGTCTCTTGCACAACGAATTTTTACAAGAGCAGATAGTGATAGGACAAGGGGGAATGGTTTCAAACTATTAGAATATAGATTTAAACCAGATATTAGGAAGAAATTTTTCACTCAGAAGATGGTGAGGCCCTGGCACAGCTGCCCAGAGAAGCTGTAGGTGCCCCATCCCTGGAGGTTCTCAGGGCCAGGTTGGATGGGGGCCTGGGAAGCCCCATCTGTTGGGTGGCAACCTGCCCACAGCAGAGAGGTTGGAACTGGGTGGGGTTTAAAATTTCCTCCATCCCAAACCATTCTGTGATTCCATAATTGCATGATTCTGTGGTAACATACATTGAAAACTGCAAATTATTTGTCTGCCCATACGCTGAGCTGACAAAAACTATGCAAATGCAGATACTGAAACACCAAGCCCATGCTAACACACACTGAGTTTCAAAAAGGCTGCTGGTTTGGGTTCATCTAATTACTTCCATATGCCATACCCATTAATAGAGTGCAGGCAAAAAAAAATAAAGAAGCTCACTTCTATATGCACAGTCACAATGTCTGCATATGTTAGGTAATATACATATGTATTTCTTTCCCAAAGTGCAATTATTTGGGATTTGTATATGGATCCTTCAAATTCAGTTTGCCGAAAGATGATGAAGAAAGAAGTGCAGGCCATATTCTTTCAAAGATGCTGTCTTATTGATTCACTATGTAGTATCTGTTTTCTTGTATCTTATATCTGTGCCTTTTCCTCTATCTTATTTTCTATTCATTCATTCCTTTATAAGAAAATGACCACCTCCACATTCTTTTAACAACGTTCACTTGAGTTTCTTGCCTGCAGCTGCTGGAACTTGCAATTGTTGTATTCTGAAAATCAGAGGAAAAAGAATTTCACTTACCACCACCAGGAGTGCAAGAATCCTGGCGGCTCCCCCAGTGTGATGTTTTTTTCCCATCTTATCTGAAACAAAACCATAAAAACACACATGTACACTTTTGTGACTATTGCGACTAAAAAATCTTACTTAATAATAAAAAGGAAGAATAAAACATTCTGTAGTTATGAAAGGCTTCAGCATCATCAATCTGGATGGACATAATATGTATAAACCATTTTAGCCAGTGACTTTTATTTTGGGAAACTGTATTTTAGAACGTTTTCATAGATTGTGAAAATAATTTTATTAAGGACATACTCTGATCACTCCACCACTGAAACATGCTTTTCTAAAACACTGTCCAGTTTGCACTAGGAGAAACTTAAGACACAGAACTAATGTTACTGATTCAGCAGGTGGCAGTCTTCTCTCCATATTCAAAGCTGGCCAATGCTTCAGTATTCTCAAGGAGTGCTGTACTGTTAGAGGTAGTGAGACAAATACACCCCAACTACAACCTGTTCTCCCACCACCCAGTGAAAGTGTAAAACTAGTTTGGCTTACTTTGTCTGCACTGGCAAACGTTCTTGAAAAGACACACGCTGTCTATGAGTTTTTTCCCACTTATGAAGTCTGGTTTATTCAAAACTGTTTCCAAAGAAAATGCAATTTAGGAATGTTTATACCCTTAACTTCACACTTTTATTGTTTGCAGCTAACTCAGTAGAAAACATGCCATGAGAGTATCCAGTCTCTCAGTAATCCTTTACAAATGCTCTACCTTAAATATTATCAACAGTCATTTTATTAATGCCACATAGTTTGTCCTAAACTATAACAGTATATAGTTCGGAATACAGTAAGCCCAGTATAATTGCTTTAGGAGTTTTGCTGCAAACAGATTCTACAACTTTTACATAACACTGTACAGAAGACTGTACAGAAGACAACATCTTGTTAAAATAGAGTGGAAACCAGAGCATTACAAACATTTCAAAGTCCTACAGTTACAATTACACACAGCACTATTTCCTGTCCAGTTTTGTAAAAAACAAACAAACAAACAAACAAAAAAACCCAACTTAATTAAAACTCTGTTGTTTAAACACAAGCCATATTCCACCCAACAGACATAAGGAATAACTAGCAAAATAATAATAATAAAATTTTAAAAATTCAATCAAATACCTGAACAGTCTCACATGAAAGGCGTTTTAAGTTTTACATAAAAACAAACATAAGCTTACTAGAAAATGTGGACATAGTGTTCATACTGCAATGAGCACTGAGAATTTTCTAAATAGAAATAAACTTTGATTCTCAACTCTGACTTGATTACCACTCTGAATTGTTAAGAAATTTAAACAAGTATGTTCTTTCAGGAATAAATATACACTTCATACATCTAAAAATGTTATTTGCACACATATCAAGCAACCTAATATAATTTCAATGTTACATAGGTCATTTGGAAGCATTTTCATAGAAACTACAGGAGGTACAAGGAGCACAATAACACCATTTGATATAATAAATTTTCAGCTACACAACACTATTTTTCAACACGGTCACCACCATCTATTGCTATGCCTCTTTGCGAGCAATTAACAAGAGTCGGCATGCCACACTCATAAAAATCTGCAACAGTGGAGGTGGCCCACTGTTTCACAGCTGCTATGACAGCATTGCCAGCATGGCTTAACCAAGGGCAGATCATGTTGTCCATCTGTGATGGAGTGGACAAAGGAAGGGCAACTGAAGTTGTCTACCCGGACTTGCATAAGGCCTTTGACATGGTCCTGCGCCACATTCTTACGTCTAAACAAGAGAAATATGGATTTAAAGGCTGGATTATTAGTTGATAAAGAATTGGTTGGATGGTTGTAGCCGCAGGGCTGTGGTCAGTGGCTCTACATCCAGGTGAAGGCCTGTCACAAGTGTGTCTGTCTTGAGACCAATTCAACACCTTTATCAACGACATAGACCGTGCGATTCAGCATACGCTCGGCAAGTCTGCGGATGACACTAAGCTGAGTGGTGCAGTTGACAAAACAGAAGGAAGATATTTCATGCTAAGCTCAAAAAGTGAGCAGATGAGAACATAAGGACCAATAACCAATGACCATAACAAGGCCAAATGTATGGTGTTGCACTCGGGTCAAGGTGATCCCAGATGTGAGTACAGAGTTGGAGAAAAACTCATTGAGACCAGCCCTGGGAAGACAGATTTAGGGGTTCTAGCGGACAAAACTCAGCGGGCACTCAGCCGGGATGGTCAGCTGTACCCTGGGTTGCATCAGAAGAAAGGTGGCCAGCATGGAGAGGGAAGTGATTGTCCCCCTTCGCTCTTGTAAGGCTCCACCTGGAGTACTGTGTCCCTCACTACAGGAAGGATGCAGAGCAGATAGAGCGAGTCCAGATGAACTCATGAAGATGGTAAAAGGGCTGGAGCACCTCATATATGAAGAAAGGTGTAAGAGTTGATGATCCCTGGAAATCCATAAGGATCATTCCTTTTCTATCCCAAGAAACAGTGCACATCACTTTACTGTCTGAGGGCTGCATCTTCTTTTTTCTTCAGTGGGGAATTCACATGTTGACACTCCATGGACCACTGTTCTGATTTCAGCTCATAGTGGTGACACCAGGCCTCATCATCAGTAACGATGAGATCCAGGAAACTGGCACCTTCAGCATCGCATTGTCAGGATCTCAATAGGTTCAGACAAACCTGCATACGTTGCCTTTTCTGTTCCTGTATGAGCATTCATAGCACTCACCTTTGAGTTAGTCCTATGTTGGCATCATTGTTTTCAACTCACTGAAGCTTATGTTCAGCTCCAAACACAGTTCCCTGGTATTAATCCACCAATTCTTGCGGATGAGCTGACAGAGGTGCTCTTCATTCTGTGGTGTGACAGCTGTGCATGGCTGTCCAGAACATGACTTATCTTTCACGTCACTGTTGCCATTGCTGAAATGCACCAGCCTACCAACTCGCTGTGCTCGCATCTACTTGTCTCCGTAAACATTCAGCAAGCATCAGTGAATTCCAGTGGGTGCCATTTTTTCCACATGGAGGAATTCAGTAGCACACATTTGCTTCATACTCACTTCCATGTCAACACCATTCTGTCAGACTGCTCCTCTGCTGCCATCTGCTACGTGGCAACAAAATGTAACAGGATATTGTTGGAAGGTTCAACCTCTACTGCCATACCACTAACATCCACCTCTACTATTGTGAAGCAACTAGGGAACAATAAGAAGTATTACTATTGGAGTAGCTCTTGTACACAAATACTCAGAACTACTTAAAAATAATTTTGCTGCTTAAAAAATATTATACAAAAACGAACTCCAGGCATTATAACTTCTATTGATAAAACTGGCAGAACAAACCAGTTGCATGGCTCTTAACCCCACCACCACCATACCACTTAACAGCACTTAATATAGAAATTGTGGAAATCCTGCCTGTTAAAAATTGAAAGATATAAACAAAGCCAAAGCCACCAACAAAGTCTTATAAACAATCCAAACGAGCTCCTCTGGGGCGTAGCCATTTCCCACATGCATTCAGCATGACTTAGTACTTGCTAGGAAGTTTCAAAAGCAACATAATGGAGAGGTGCATATAGTCAAGACCAATTTCTTTTTCCTGAAGTCTCAAAACTCATTAACTTAAGAGTAAAGTTTGTGTTTGCACAGAAAGGCCTCACTACATCTAAGCAGTATTCTTCCTTTTCAAAGCAAGGCTCAATGAAAATACCTTATTCATAGGTCTTATATTTGTCTTTTTCAATAGAACACAACTTATCCTCATAAATGCATTCAAAGAAGGAACCTGACTGGAAGGTGGAAGTTTTGTTTTAACTTCAATAAACACAAATGGCAGGTCTTAGTCTACCTGAACAAATAGAAAAGAATTATGAAACATTATAAAATTAAAGCAAGAATACTCTTATTATCATCTGTATCAATAAACAGCTTGTAACAGCTGGGAAACACCTGTCTTCCTGGTCTAGCCAAGAAAATGAAATTATTCCTCCAGTGCTAGAACCTAACTTCAAGGATAGAAAATGCATATGCTAAGAACCTGATCTTCAAGAAAACACAGCAGTTGCCACACCAAAGAAAAGATTCAGGAGCAGAACAGTTTATTTTGTTTCAAATATTAGCGTACCCAATCTGAATAGCTCTATTCAAACCTCAGCAGCAAATGGCATGGCTTAGCTAGTAGCACAAGTGCCTTGCCATTTTGCCAGCTGTATGACAATTACACATTTTGGGATGAAATAGCTATTGAGTTACTTCCATCTATTACTTCATGACATGTTTCCTGAAAGGAAGTTAATATGTAGAGCAAAAGACAAGGATTATAGGTGTTTCCAACATTCAAAGATTCAGGAAAAGGCCAGTTGAACAGGTGGTCCTACATTTTGGAGACTACGGCAACAAAGTTTTGAAGGGTGTACTCAACAGGGACCACAACAAAATGGAAAGCACTGTTTGCCTTGTAAATAAGAATGACTAGCACAGATCTTACACTGACCTGTGAACAGCTCTACAAAATATATACCAGATACAAAGCATTACAAAATTGAAGTCATGCTTAAGACAGCTATCTCTAAGTCATATAAGTGATTTTATGATATCCAATTTAAATTTTCTTCTCTCTTTTTCTTTCCATTAATCTTACTCACTTTACTTGCTAGATCTTGAAGAAAGGGACATAAATCTTTGCCATCTATACTCTTTAATTATCACTGATAGCTGTGCTGCTCAGATAGTCCATATGTGTTTATTTCTGTTTTGTCCAAATACTCTGGGTTAGAGCAACTTTGAACTGAATAAGTTATAAAGAAATCCATCCAAATTATTCTGGCAGGTGCAGACTGCCAGAATAGAAAATACAGTGAGCCCAAGTAGCCATAGTTTTTAAGAAGTGATAAAGCCAATACAAATTTCATCCCATGCAACCAGGACATCTCCTACACCTCCTGAAGTGCTCTCCCATCACCTCAATCACAACAGAGTAGTTGCTTCCCATCACCCATGAGTAAGAAAAACACAAAGAGACACGGAAGACTGCAAATTTCACATCACCATAAAGTTGTAAGAAGACATTTTTTTACACTGCTCAACTGCTGTTTTGTTATTTTCATCCTGTCTTGTAATTTTCCTTCTCTAACAAGAACAGTGACTCACATGGTGTACAGAGTTGGGCTAAAGCTTTTATACTGTGGTTTCCTCCTTTAGACAGAATGGGCATCACAATACAAGGTTCTATTTACTCCACAATAAGCTACTTTCTTTTCCCCCCTGCTATTTTTACCACTCGCCATTTAACTTTGTGTTTAAGGTTACTTTCTCCCAGTCATGTTAGAGTACTTTTTTCTCAGCCTGAATCTCACTGCATCATTTTAATCTCAAATATTATATTTTCCAGGCTTCCCTGTAACAATGGTAACTGCATTTGGTTCCAACATGTAGCCATTTACAAACATTATTAGCATCATCTTTGTCTTTACCAATTCAGTACACTACAACTATATGTCTCTCTACATTGCAATATACTATATTTTATCTCTTACCAATGTAGGGGTAAATTTCAGCATCAGACAGATTTGGAAAGATTTTATAAATTCTCAAATTACATTTGCTCAGACCTGAGAGTTTCTCTATAATCTGAGACTGAATTAGGTTTTAAATGCTAAATTTCAAGATACTGTATTGAGTGTTTTCCTGAAATCCAAATGTCATACCAGTTACACTCCTGCCAGCTGCTCATTTCGCACATAAATGATAAAAAACAAAATGAATCTTGCAACATTGCATTATTTACAAATGACAACTGTTTCCAGGAGTCAAGATATTTCTTATTTTTTTTCCATTGCTTTACTAAGGAGAAAAAAAAAACAATTGTCAGAAACAATTTTTTAAAACATAAACTGATACTACAACAATCCTACCCCCTTTGCCCCTCGTTCCATGAATTGTCTATAAATACCAGAAACAGCCCTCCTATACTCATTCTGCCTTCTTCAATCTCCAAAATGTGATCACTAGTGTAGAAATTTTATTAGTTTTGAAGGAGGATCAGTTGAAGCAGCAAATTTTCCTACTACAACATGCTGCCTGGTTTTCTCACTTTTGCTCACTATTCAACTACTACCACTATTTTATATGTTCTCATCAAAGACGTATTAAAAACAATAATAAACCCCAAAACCTCAATAGATTTGGCATATATTCGGGTACTCTTGCATCCCAGAATAAATGTAGAATACTCAAGAAAATTGATTTACTTACATCTTCAAAATATGTACATAACTACAATGAAAAACGGTAACTATTATGTGATAGTAAAAATTGCATCAGAAGTGAAGAGTGCTTAAGAAACAGGACATAAGTGGTTACAGACGTAATGGCTTCACCAGATGAAAAGAAGCTAAGCACTTAGAAGCATGGTAGGAATATGCAGTGAGGTTAGTGTAAAATAGCTGCTTGCCATGTATTTAGAAAGGATACATTATTCAGATTGGAGATTCCAACAGTATCACGAAGGAGTACAATGGATGTGCTCTCCATCACCCACTTTTATTACAGAAAATAGATAAACCTTTTTTCAGTGTAGCACCAAATCAGACAACATGGCTAACAAATGACAGCAAAAGTAATTATGCAAAGGCAAGCAAAATGACATGGCAAACTCACTTTTCGCAAAATCAGAAGTCTATGCTGATCAACATAAACAGACATGCAAAATTGTCATTGCTGTTTATTTTAAACCAACACAGATTTAATTTCACTTGCACACACACTGGAAAGTTGTGCAAGGGAAAAAAAGAGACAAAGAAAACATACCTCCGATAAAAATGTCTGGGCAGATTTCTGTGCTCCTACATGGAGCAGATATTCATATACGTACAGTGCTAACCTGAAAAACAAACAAACAAAGAGACAGTATTTAAGGTTGTGTACTGGTTCGTTTCTCTTTTTATGAAGATAGGATTTCAACAGGTTTGAGTCGCATGCTATTTCCTTTCAGAAACTACTATGTACCAAAAATGTCAAATCTATTGCTCATAACAGAACTTTTAAACTACACATATAGGTCAATCTGAGCTGAGTTGTTTAAATAGAGGTTAATTAAATATTATTAAAACCTTAAATTACTTAGAGTCAACATTTTTAATGATGTTTGGACAGGTTCCCAGTTAGCTAACTATTGACCTACTGCTGCTCCGTGTTTGCCCACAATACACCACGCTAATTGTAAATACAATATATTCATTTGTACAGCACCACTATTTCTCCAGGACAACTGGAACATGTCAGACTGTTAGCAGGCTTGAACAACATCTCACATTTACTGAAAGAACATGCAAACATCAAGCTGCAGAAGGAAAAGCAATCCTAGAATCCACATCCCTACTGTAGTACAACCACATATCTACTGTAAGAGAACCACACCTCTCAAGTAAACAGATTTTTTACTTTACTCAAACTTGGGCATCTTTGAGCTCTGATGACAACAGCTGTGTAAAAAAGATCTCGTGGCTAAAGAAGGGCTCAGGTCCCACTGGACCTTGGACTGAGAAGGCCACTCCAAAAACCCAAGAAAAGGGAAAGCAAAAGCAGCAAGGCTTCTGTTAACAGAGGCTAGATTTGAGTTAGAAGAGTGAGAAAAGTAGCACTTCCTATTCTTCAGCTGACTCTCTAGAGAGTTCCCCGTCTACTTGTACATTTAAAGTCTTTCAAAATGAAATCCCATTCGAATGTTTGATTTAATAACGATGCTTAAAAATTGTCTATAAAACATTTCAGTGCAAGGGAAGAAAAGGAAGTCATACTGCATTTCTTTCAAAATTGCTAGCTGAACTGTATTAAAGAAGTACACTCTATTTGTATTTACTTTGTGATATACCACCATTCCTATTTGGAATATTTTACTATTCATATCCTGAAATACGTAGTTTAACTAAACAAAGCATAGAGGCAGAGAATATGTACTTTTCCTGTTACTGTTCAAAACATTTTGCAATATGAGATAACTGTCATCACGGCACTGACAGAGCAGTAATTATTTCAGTAAACTGTAACAAGTGAATTTTAAAAACGTATGAGTGGATGTTTTCATTAGTTATTTATGCTTCACACATGCAGTACTGCCACCACGTTCCTCTCCAACACTTAGGTGGACATGGATGCACCCTTGTGAGTTCAGCACAGAAGATCTCTCATACTCCAGCCCCCCACCCCAAAAGAACAACCACATCTGGCAAAAAAAAAAGCCACTTTCTCTGACTTGATTCTTTCCAGTTCAGCTATCACTCAATTCTTACACATTAAATGGCTGTAGACAAAACCTAAGATCTAAGAAAGATGAAGCACTCTTTCTACAATAGCTAGGATGACTTGAATCCCTACTAACACTTTAAAGCACCTCATTTGTCTTCTGAAATTCCTCTTTTTGTTCTTATCAAAACATGAAGCCTGTAGTCCAGATAAAAGGATTTGTGTGATCCCATCCTTTCTACGCCACAAAGGCAAACCAGAAGTAGAAAACCCAGGAGTTTATTGCAGAGACAGTACCTTCTTCAGCCTGCCATCTCTGGAAAGCTTTAGCCAGCACTGCACAGGGACAGTCAAACTGATTAATACTACAAGTCTTAGGCTCCCAAACTTGTGTTAATCATGGCAGTGACAGGAGAGCCAAGTTCAGGGCCTACCACAGACATACATCAAGCTGGTGGGCGCGTGTCTGATCTAAATGGATCCTTGTCCATCCCTAGCAATTATGCTTTCAGGAAGGCTTCACAGAAGTTAACAGCATTACAGCTTCATTCAGAAATAAATGCTTTTACCACAGAGATCAAGAGAAAGATACTCATGTTCTACTGCATTAGTTGCAGCAGGAGGATCAATGGAAACTGATGCTCTGAGGAAAGGCAACAAAGAAATCAAAAAAGACGCATCAGAAGGATTAGAAGGGACAGTGACTTTAACTTACCCACAGGAAACACAAGGAGAATATACAAATGGCCACAAACCAAGTGTGCGAAATTAATGAACTGGTATTACATGTCTCAGCAGAAGACTAAGAAAATAGTAGTGAGTCCACCAGAGGACTTGGGTTTGAAGTGGCATTTTAAAAGACAGTCTTCACCCATTAAGCTGACGTGAGAAACAGTGTAAAGACAGCAAGAAGACATGTTAAATTTTCACATTTGCATACTTGTGATATGAGAAACATGAGTAAAAAATATTTCTGATCAGCTCATCACAATGCTGAAGTAATTCTTCTTGAAGACATGCTGCATGCCAGAGCTCCCCCATCCTGCCAAGGCAGCTAGATCACACACTCATCTAAGACCTGATGATACATTCATTACATTTAAAAAAAAAAAAAAAAGTTATGTCATTTTGGTGAGCTGTTGTATTTTTCATGAAGTCAATGCTCTTATTTCTTAAGTTATTCACACATTTTACAGGAGAAATATCGACTACATTTTGAAGTGAAGAACCACCTAAGGGGTCCTGATTAACTAATTTTTGCAAGAATATCTCCAAGAAATAAACAGTAACAGCTCTACGTGTGCTGTGCAAATGATGTGTCACACGTCAAGGTGGAAATACACTATTAACTTCAGGAAGGCTTACATCCAAGCTATACAGCTGTATGACCACTGATTAAAATTGGGCAGAAAAATGCTCCCGATTTCAAGTCCAAAGATTACAACACCCAGCTTCCCATAAAAGGCAGTGAAAGATGCAAGCATCACGAACGTGTTCACCTGGTCTATCTTTGGCACTTGGGTGCTCTGAGTCACACTCCCTCCATCGTCCCAGCAAGCCTTCCTGCTGCTTTGTGGGCTACTCATCTGGCTCTTCAGATGAACAGGTGTTGGCTGCCTACAGAAAATACTGCAAGAAGCAAGAACATTCTACCTGCACACCCACATTTCTTGTTTCTGTCTGGTAAACACCTGAACAACTCACAAAAAAAGATAAATCCAAATCTTTGGTGAAATTTCAATGACAGAATCTAGTGAGATTCACTGGTGTGGAGGGTGAACCAAAAGTCTGAAGTCATTATCAAAAAATCTTAGGAAAGAATGCAGGTGAAACACTATTATCTTGTTTAACTCTACAAGAAGATGCGTATTAATACAGTTTCAGTCTCTCCGTCTAAGACTGAAGCTCAAGCACCCAGTTTGGTGTACTGCTATTTCTAAGGAGACAAAGAATAGAAGGATGAGGGCCACGTTTTTCTGTCACATCTAAAGCTGAGCTTAGAAGAGCAAGGAACTGCAATAATTTAGCTTCTACTTTCTCTTGTAAGATGTCCAATAAACCTGCCAGAAGTAGGCAACTATTACACACAGCTTCACGCAGTTGAGAAGAAGTATAGTTACTTCCACTGTTTAATTCGCCACATGCCATATCTAAAACATAAGTATTTTAACTGAGAATACAGTTGTGTATAACCATTATCCATACAGTTATAAAATCAATGCGGTAGAGCAAAAGCCTCCAGCTCCCCAGATTTGGCAGTATTTCAAAGCATGGTTCAAGTATTCTGCCTCCCCTAACTCCTATGGCAAGCTTACTCTACATTAAGCAACTGGTGCTCCTTTTTCACTAAGTCTGCAGTGGTGAACTAGTGCACACTGCAGAAATGTCCTTCTGCCAGCAGCAGGCATTATGCTGACTATATCTGATTGCTGGATGTAAACAGCAAAATAGAACTATCAATTGTTGGAATGTTCTAGGTCTGAGTATTGCAAAACAAATTCTGTGTTACTTTTAATCTTGTTACATGTGGAAAGTTCTATCGTAACGCCCTAAAAATAAAAATAAGTTGTAATTAAAATCAATGAAAATTAGTAAATCAATACTCATAATTTTTAGTTTGTGTGAAGAAGGATGAGGCAACTGAGTAACATTTAGAAGCATTTCCACTGAGGAGATCCTAAAAGCTTCTGTTTGTTCCACGAGACCTGCAGTTTTCCAGAATTGGTCGTCTGACCTAGAGAGGGAAGCAGCTTTTTCTCTTCCTTTTGTTTCATAAAGGTATGCAGAAATTGTTTCAAATCTAGAGTGTCCTTGGAGTCTCTCTGACAAAATGACAAAATACATACCTCAGTCTCTGAAATTGTAAACAGCAACACTAAATCTGTATTTTAAATATAACAATTAAAAACATCTCTAATTTGAGGCTTCTTGAGCAAACTTGCTTGAATCCATCATTTTAGTAGCTTTAAAGCTCATTCTGGGAAGCTGCTTTTGGTCAGTTTCAACTAATAGCAAGAAGTATCAAATTTTGAGCAGATTTGCATGCCATGGCCAAACAACCCATTTTCCACTATTTAATCACAGAAACAATCATTTCTACACACATGCATACATACGTATATATTCTTCTAACATCTTTACATATCATTATATAATCTATGTATCGTTTTTACATATTTTTCTGCAGCACCAAGCCAAAGCTGTGCCCAAGAATACGCATGTTTTTCCATTTGCTTGGGCAGGTAGGTCAATTAAAGCGTCAGTGTTGCAGAGGTACCTCAGTGCACACCTTTGTGCATCAGCCCTCCTGGGCGTGCCGTTCCACCTACGTGTGATTTATGTTGTTTGTTTAGCTTGAGGCTCACAGGCTGCTCTTTCAAAATTCTCTAACCATGCCAGTCCGCAGTTTCTCTCCAGCTCAAAAACTACATTTGTGCCAGTGCTGCCTATCCTATCTACAGCATGATCAGTTTTCTTAGAAGTACACACATATTAAGCAAAACACAAACACCGGTCTAAGGAAACAGCATTTCCCAAAGGTGATATTAAACGTTTGTTTAAGTATGTGCCCCTCTTTTTCTGGGAGCTCCTACCACAGCCCTGCAAACACACGGAGCATAATAGTGTGTATACTTGACA